GAGAAACAACAGTAGAAAAATCAACATAATTATCTGAAGCGGCTGTATTTTGCATGTACGTTGACTTATAGATTAATGTAGCTCTATATGATAATATAAAATCAGTTAATAAAATAGTAAAGTTTTAAAAATTATTGAAACATTTGAGTGTTGCCTAGAGAAAACATATAAGAGCAATTTAAATTTTCACTGTACCACCCTTCTAAAAATTGTGATATTACGTAATTTAATCAGTACTCTAATTATTTTAAACATACAAATACAAAAAGGAATATACCAGTATATTCAAAATATTATCGCATTTTCTTCTGAGCAATACTAAAAATATCTTACTTCATTTTAATAGAGTTTAGTTTTTCATCCGTCTCAGAACATGATAACTGCATTTTTCTTTATATATATGGGTTAGTAATGACATCTTATACCGAGGGTCCATCATTGACGCAATGCAATGTGTATCTTCCACTTCTGCCCAGTATTTTTTAAATTTAGTTTGCATTGGTACAACCATTTGACAAATAAAAGGATTAATGTTAGTAACATTTTGTTCAAAATGTGTCTTAATGTTTATCAAATGGGGAGAAAAATATTTGCGGTTGAGTATATTGTTCCTGATATAATATTCGTGACTATATTAAATTAAGTAACTAATTAGTATAAGCCTTTAGTAAAATATTAAAAATTTGCTATTACCTTCATAAAATGGCTTCAAAAAATCACAAATAATCTTGGTATTTTTCCAATCTTCATCAAAGGGCATAATTTGCTCAAAATAAGTATCCCGTAATGCAAGATGTCCAAATACATTTTTATACAGAATAGTAGATACAAGCATTAAGTACACCGAGTTCTAGCAAGTAGGTATATCAAGAGTTGGTCGTTGGCTTGATACAAGTTCGACGCAACACCCCACTACAGCATCTTCAAAGTTTTGTTGACGAGCTTGTGAACTGTGAATCCATTTTGCGCATTCTCGAATTTTACTTATGATATTTTTAACTATTTTTAGACCATCACCAACTATGAGATTTAGTATGTGAGCATAGCAATATTGATGTAGCAAACTTCCATTAGCAATTAACATGTTTTGTTCATCGAGCATGTATTTTAAATTTTTTATTGCGACATTATTATTAGTTGCATTATCTATGGTAATCGCGAATGTTTTTGATGCAACATTCCAATCACTAAAACACTTAAAGAGCGTTTCACTAATGATGATTCCCGTATGAGGTGAGGGAACTGCTCTGAATGCTAAAACTAGTTTTCTAAGTTCCCAATTATTATCAATAAAATGGCATGTAATGACCATATATCTGAGGTTCTGATTAGATGTCCACATATCACTCGTATAGCTTAGGTTACCAGGTGCCTCTTGAATTAATATACGTGCTTTTATTTTAAGCTCTTCAACAATGTCATCACAATCTTTACGCACAGTTTTCCTATCTATCAACTTAAATTCTGACCACAAATTATTTGCAAATGTTACGAACCCTTCATCTTCTATCATACTAAATAGATATGAATGTCTAACAATCATTGATGCCAAATCTTGACAACTTCTTTCTTGAGAGAATTTATACGTAGAAAGGCCTGATGCGGATAATTGCAAAAGTTGTTGTGACTCATTAGTTTTCAAATATTTCTTACATTTTGTGTTTTTTATATGACGAATTAAAGAACTCGTTCCCGTATCATTATCATGTTTTAAAACATTTTTACAGTGTGTACATTGAACATAATTATCTAATAAATTAAATGATATAGTATAACAAATAAGTATCGATGAGTTTACATAATTAATACTTAAAAAGAGCAGAGATTTTTACCTATCTGAGGATCATGTTAAACAAAATGACCTTCTTTAAAGACCCATGACTCTGGTTTGCTTCTCTTACACTTTTTATTACTAGTGGTTACTTCAGAACCTTTATTAACAATTGTTTCTGTGCTTTTATTAGGTGTGACGATTTCAATACTTTCATTAGCAGTAGTTATTTCTGGACTTTCACTTTCATTATTACTAATAGCTAAGTGGATACTTTGCATTTCTATTTAAATAAAATTTTATGTTCTATTAAATATATCTAAGAAAAATGTATGCGGCTGTAAATTTTAAATATGTATACCAGAATCCATCATATTATAGTGGTTCAATACCAAATGACATAACCTAAAAAAAAAACCATAGCTTAAATTAATTTTTTTAAATATATTTTATATTTGTTCTCTTTAGCTCACATTTTTTTTTTTTCTTTACATACGTATGTATGTACGAACTACACTCTTGCACCAGACAATTTCTGGTTTTTTTTGTTAATGTTTAATGGCGAATGTGATTTCTGTCACTTATATATTACCCTGTATTGTGTTACTTATTGATAAACTTTATGGAAATAAATGCATATATATGTATTATCAATCTTTTATTTCGCTGATTTATATAAGGTACATACGTACGTATATTTAAAACAAGCGGCGCTGTTATAGACGTCAAGAAAAGCCTGTAACTATAATTATTGGTACTACTATAATTAGTAATTTAATAGAGTTACCAAGTATAGTTATTTGAATTAAAAATTGTAAAGCCAAGTTGATAACTAATTGTTTCAAGTTTTAGAGCAACTACGTAGTCATTAAATCTAAAAATTTTCAACCAATTAAATTAACCCAATAAATCATATTATCATTCGGCTAACCAATAAAATTACTCAAAATCATGTGCTAACTAAAAAATTTTGCCGAGTCAAATTACTATTCAGGTATTATTAGGCTGCCTGGGCTTTTTTATAAGGCCCAAAACTAGCCCAGTTTTCAAATGGGCCTGGCCCAGGCCTGACTCAAACAATATTGGGCTTAAAAATATGGGCCCAAACTTGGCCCAAGCCCGGCCCAATTCATATATTATTAGGTTTAGCCTGGCCTATTTCTATCCCTACTAACAATAATGTTTAAAAACGCTAGCACTCCATGAAAACTTGACATAGCACGAATTATATCCGTACTTTCTAATGACACAGAAGAAAATATTTCTATACGATTATCCTCGTCAATAGACATGATTGATTTCTCGTCAAAAAATTCGTCAAGACCAGTTAAGAGGTTTTGAAAGCTTTTAACATGTAATGGATCCAAATTATTTTTATTTTTCTCGAGAAAATCGTCCAGACCTTCTAAATTTAATGACCACAAAGTTTTTCTGAACCTTTAGTATAGCAACGTCTCTTGGGAGCTTCTTTTTCAGTTAACTTCTGCCACTTAATCTGAGAATAATAATTGGGTATATTAATGATTAATAATGATTATTTGGAATAATTATAACTACCGTTTTTAATATTTGTTTCATATAGTCTTTTTTATTCGATATGCGATAGGGTTCTTTTACATAATTCTTATGAAGAGATTCATAAGTCTCTGTAGTCATACTATTTATTGACCCGTACTCTTGAATTATAGACATTATATGATAGCATCAAGCATAGAGTTTTGGAAGCTGAAGACCACTTGGATTGTATTTTAAAAATATTTCAACAAATTCTCTGGCCCACTCCATAATGTAAATCTGTGAATATAATCGTTAGTAATCGAATTTTATAAAAGCTAACCATTTATTTGCTTTATACCTAAAGCTTATTGCAAGAATCATAAGTAAATGATTCTTCACGGGTAGCAATATACATTTGAAGGAATTTGTAATAGACTTGGCATAGCTGTTTATTACTAATTCCTGGCCTTTTATAATCCTCAAATAGATTAACTAGTACAAAAATAACTATTTTCATTACATTTTGCAATTCGTCAGCTGTCACACGTGTAATATCTGACATATTCTTAATTATTTTCAAACCAGGATATCATAGAATCGAGTTTAATCATTGTTCGAAGGTTTGAAAAACTTCGCTTCCACATTGTTCATATAAAAGCTCTTTAGTATAATCTATCATATACTTAAAGAGGCCAAGATCCAAGATGTGCATTCGATCAGATATAATAGCCTCATATATATTAAAATTTCTAAAAATTTTCATTATTTATAACAATATTTATTTTTTATTTTTTAATTTTATTACTAAAATATTATTTCTTACCTTATTTCCTAAAATGCATTATTTTTAGAATGGATTGAATAATAATGATCATCACCGCTACGAATTGCTTGCCTCATCATATCTGGAGTTCTAGATAAAATATGAGTTAAACCAAGATTATTCAAGTCATCCTTTGATACTATGCATTTTCCACGTGGCTTTCTTGCGGATGATGGTTGATAAATGTTTGCAAATTTATTGGCTTCAGCCATGTCAGCAATAATAACTGATATACATGGAATAAAGGTAATTATATTTCCACGTATTTCATAATGAAGCTCTGGTTCTTCAGCTATGGGCTTAAGAAGAATCGTCATACACTTTTGGAAAATTTCTCTTTAGAATTTTTGGAAATCTTTAGATTTTTTCATTTTAGAATCCTTGGCTTTTAAGATTAGTAAGTATCCGATTAGTGCCTTAGATTCTGGTTTATTTCTCTTTGAGTTTGAAATGTTTCCAAGCGATAAAAATATAGGGTGCCCAGAAGATTTCCCCATATTGTCAAGGGTTGTTGCATCTGAATATAGGATAATCGATAATAAATATTGCCCAAGAAGTAATGATGATTCTTCTCGTTCTTACCAGTCACAATTGTACTGTTCTTCAAAGACGCGTTGTTTTATACCATTTAGTATTTCTTTTTTTTCTTCATATTAAAGAACAATTGACTAATTAATACTATCGATCATTAATAAAGACTTTATAGCCTTAATTAATAATCGATAAATGAAAGTATACTCAACGTTTTGAAACGTTTGGATAGGAACTTCTTTAAACATCATGTAAGGGACAGTAGAATCATCAAGAAATTCCTTTCCGGTTTTGGTTGATGGTGAAAGTGGTGTAGTATCCAAATTGGAGAACTTGTTAAAAAAGTTTATTATACTATCACTAGCCGAATTTGATAGGTTATACCTAGGGTTACAAATCGTTAAAATTTTTCAATCGATTAGTTGTTTTAACTAATTTATTTTTTGTATCTAATTTGATTATTCTTTAGTCGATTAGTTGCAACTAATTGGTGGTTGATGAATCGATTAGTTGTATCTAATAAGTTATCTATTGACTAATTCTATAAATTTGCGATAGATATCGTTAGGCCATTCCATAGTTTAAGGATAATACAAATCATGAAAAGCATCATCAAATGAAGCATCTTCATAGTCTTCAGATTCAACATTTGAGTGCTGTACTTCATGAAAAGTATTATCAAACGAAGCATCACCATAGTCTTCAATATCACTTTTATCAGACATATTTTGAGATATTTCTTCTATCAAATAAGGCACATTAACCGTCGAAGGGAGTTCCATTTCCATTAAATTAAGTTCATTCGAACTTAACTCTGATTGAGATGACATTGATATGTTTTTGTTCTATATTAAAAATAATCATTTAACAATTATGATATAGTACCAAATATGACGTACCTGCGATATTTTGAGATTCAGTGCATTATCGAATACTTTTATCATCATTCGATTATTATCGATATATGATGGTAAAATTATTTGATATTGTTCACTGAATCTCAAAATATCGCAAGTGCATCATAATACCCATCTTGACTTTTATAATATTTAAACATTAATATTTGCAACTTATTGATTT